ACTGTTGAGCAAGCTACAACCTATATTGTACCTGTGCATTTTGTTTTTCTTCCCTAAATGTAGAACCTTACTTTTTTTACCATTGAATTTCATTTTGTTAGATAATGCCCAATGTTCAAGTCTGAACTTCAAGGGATTTGAAGTTCACCCATCTTAAACTTTCCAAGAAAAATGCCATGCAAATCAAAGGGAAAGCTGGATTTGCTTAATGAGTGCATGATTTACTTAACAACTGCAGTGATTTGGGTTGTTAAATTGGGCACAGCTCACTAACTGCCTTGCTTAGCAATGGAAATTCTACTCCCAGTTGTGATCATGTCAAGGACAACAATTAGATGTGCCAAACAACACTGTATATATTAACATACAGTACAACACTTTTTCTCTTGTGCCATCACTCTGCTGAACTCCCACAGGACTGTCTCAAGTCTAAGGATATTTACCCTTGTAGTATAGTTGTATTAGTTATCCTTCTCACCTTTTCTACTACTTTCTCTTATTGATATCATTATGATTATATTACTTGTTTTTATGTAGACTAAGAGCTTATGCACCTGAGACAAATTCCTTGCATGTCCAATTGCACTTGGCCAATAAAGTATTTTGATGTTCTGTTCTCTCAGCTCTGTATTTTTATATTCTATGTTCTGTTCGGTGTTGGAAACATGAATTCATTATTTTCCCCTTCTTGTGCAAGTTCGCAACCATAATAAAAATCATCTGTAGATTCTGTGGTCTGTGATTGTGTAACTATGCCTCCTGGTGGCTAATAGGTGGGTTAGCTTAAAAAGAAACCAGAGGGAGATGAGTGGGGAAAAATTTGAGGAGCTATTTGCCCCACGACCCTTGATTTATGGTGGCAAAATCAGCAGGAACCCACTTACTCACTCCCATTCAGAAAGGCTCCTAGGACCAATTACTAGGAATATTTTACGCCAAACTTATGCTAAACTGGTGACCTCTTTGAATATTATAGATTCCTCATTACTTTTCATTAAAAGTTGAGCCTGTTCCAATCCGCAGTAAAGGTCATTTTCTTTTGTTATCTAGGTATTGGTTACCACTCCAGAAAGAAGTGTATGACTTGCAAAGGGCGAGACCCTATGTAAAAAGTATCGTGGCATGCCTTAAATGCTTTATTAGGGGTTTGTTGTTCTTGCTGACGCAAGTAACTCATGAGTTATCGGGTAATAATTAGCATTAAAGAATACCATTAGGGTTACAAATGCTTTTTTGGTTTGCGTTGGGTGAGACACAAGTACAAGTCAACAGAAAATCAAGTTTCATAAAGCACTGTGGGGGAAAACTTGCATTCTAATTGTTGTTTTTTTTCAAAAAAATATTTGGATGCAATTACTTAAAGCGAACAAATTTGAGATTACCGCTTCCTGGACTAACAACAAACACAGGAGGATTGCATTAGATTAATGGGATGTACATTCAACGTTTTCCAGGGGCTATGTGTTTATCTACCTATTCAAATTCGCAATTTTATCTTTTTTGCTGCAATGGAAACTCAAGATGGTTACACTGCATTAAAGTCAGCAGTTACACTAAAGCTCATAAACAACTTAGATCTTGCTGACTGAATGTTTTTGCCAATTATCTATGTGGCAGCTTTCTTTATAGCTTGGGACCTGTCACTTTCAGGATGGTCACTTTGTAGAATCTAGATACCCTACAGTTCTAAAAGAGAGAAAATGCTCCAAATATTCACACTGAAGGAAATTGGGGGATTACAACCCAGGAATGGACTTTCTAAGTAGGCAGTTTATTGATAGGTCTTACAACCACATTAAAAAAAAGTAGATAATACACAAGGTCTAGTTCCAAGATAAACTAGGTAAAAGTAATCTGGGAAGAGGGTGGATGAATATCTCCATTGGCCCTAACTGTTGTTTACAAACTATGAACTCTGGCTTAGTAGTATTTAGCTTATAAAACAACAAAACTGCTTAAATTTGAGAAACAAAACCAGCATGAATTTTAAATAGCATCAGGGTTCTTGAAGGGAATTCCATAATGTGGAAAGTTTTGAAATAAAGTCCCCATTATGTCATATCCAAGCTATTATGAGGCACAGAAAAAGACTCTCTTTCATACTCTAAATAAATTGATATGTTTATCAAGTAGATCTGTTTATCATTCAGTCCATAGAGATATGCAGGAAATGAGGATCATCAATATATTCACTGTTGTGATTATGGTTTGGCAATGGAGTAGGAAACATAGGGACCAGTACTGTGGATGGCAATACATGGAACTTCATGGAACTCCTATGTGATATATTACAGATGTCATTAGGGAATAAACCCAGCCAAATCTGCCTTTTCTACAGAGCCAAATGTCACTGTGCAACTGTTCTTGGCTCTTGATCTTTTTTCCAGGAGCATTTCTAACAGTGAAGCCAATTAGGCTTTGCAATATACCGTATGTTCTCATTTGTCTGTTTCTAGAGGTAGTAAAAGTATTTCAATCAAATTGCAAACAGTTTGCCAAAAAACTACAGTTTCCATCTACATAGCCAAGACATCTCAAGTCATAGTTATTCTTTCCCTTATGGAACATTTCTATAGATGTATGGCTGTACTTCATTCTCATTAGCAGATTAAAACCTAACTTTTATCAGCAGCATCATACAATTAAGTGACCCTCTGCACAGTTGGAGAAAAACACAGGTTGCTATGGCCCTACCTAGCAAGGTTACTTCAGGTAAGGTGAGACATAGAAGAGGCCCATTTACTTGAGGGGGTGGGGGAGAACCAGCCAGCCAATAAATTCCACACTTTTATAGCATAAACTTTCCAGATCCAATATATAATTGGCATAGCCCATTATGTTGTACAGGCAGTGGATTTTTCAGAATAGCTTTGAGCCAAATCTAAGCTTTTAATCTTTTTTTTTTTTACAGTTCTTTCATCTCATGAATTCTTATTCTTATTTTATTTTTCTTATCCTTGCTACTACATGAATCCATCTAATAGCATGCAACCAACATTTGCCAGTAAACCTGTTGTTTATATGGAAACCCATCTCACATAAGTGACTCTAAGTGGCTGACCAAGATAAAAATACAATATAAATACATTTTTAAAATGTTCATCCAAAAAAACATGCCATAAAAAAAAGTCTGAATTTACAGAACACACCCAACCCAAGCCTATTATGTTTTGCTTTTTGTGTGAACCAGTTGTTTGCAAAGCAATTTAGTATTATGGTTGATCTTATCTGAATTCATATTGCACATTCTGGGGTCAGGATGAGTGGTGTGGTGGAGTTCCATCCTAGGTAGAGGCAGATATTTCTCTCTCTGTGCACAACGAGAATATATCTGCTAAACAAAACTCTGCATTGGTGACAGGAAGGGCATCGGGCCATTAAAACACTACTAGCTCCATTCAGTTGCCCAGATTCCACCCCGCAAGGGATTATGGGATCATTAAAAGGAGATGATGATGATTCTGGGTTCAGGATCCAGAGCAGTCTGAATGAAACTGGATCCCAGATGTAGAATTTACTGCCTTGTTAACCAGGCAGAGAAACAATAGCAACACAATTAGCAAACCTGGCATATCATGATTACCAAGGTCTATAGTCGGGGGCAGTGTTGGTTTAGCACAACACGCTTTCTCTCCAGTTCCACAAAACCTCTAGTAGAATGATAGTAATAATATTAGAAAAGCCATTGTTCTTTCTTTCACCTATCACTTCTTAAATGGAAATTCAGATAAAGGGGGAAATTTGCTTATTAAATAAGCAGTTTATAAGAGCCAGTTTTTAAAAAGCAGATTTTTTTACATATATAAAATCAAGCTTCTGAATAACTCATCTCCCTCAAAGAGAGGTTCTGGGCAGTGTACAATTTAATTAATAAATTAAAATATTAAAACCTGAATAATTTAGGATTAAAAAATTTAAAAGATGTAAAACATTATAAAATTACAAAAAATGAAGAGTTCCAAATGGGGAGACTAGGAGTCTCAGTTAATACCACACTTGTTTTACCTTGTCTTTGCTTGTTATTGCACCTAAAATGTAGTTGTTTCATATTTTTATACATCCTTACTACCACTCTCTAACAGTCTAAAATACAAAGAATGCAATTTAGAGAAATGACACAGCAGACTAATTCTGATAGAAATATAGGTGAAGATAAGTTTCCAATACAGCTTTGTAAAATACTAATGTATACCAGAGTAGAGACCTTTAGTAGGAAAAAGCCAAGATAACTAAGTACAAATGTAATTTTTTCCCACCCATTTAGAACGTTATTGAACTTTAAAATGGTGCTAAAGTTACAAGACGAGACTGTCCTTGGAAATGAACGATCAGAAAAGACGTAAAGACTTGCTGTAACCATTAACTAGACTGAGCAAGATTTTTAACTTCTATATTTACATGTTTAAGAATCCTGTTTAATGCTACCATTTAAAGAAAATCCAAGGATAAAGCTTATATGCCCAGATTTATAGGAATTTAAATATTTACATTATTTTCCTATTCTGTCAGTGGAAAATATTCTGAATATTTTAAGAAATCATAAGCTTGCATAGTAACTCTACTACATCTGCTGAAGAGAAAAGAACAGAAACAAGCATTTTCATTATTGAGGATTTAATACTTATTTTGTTTTTTTCAAGAGTCTAGTAACCAACATTACCAACCTTAGGGGTAATTAAGAGTATAATGGGACCAGTTTTAGTCACCTGTAATGCAACTTGGAACACTCTTAGGTCAATATCATTTTGTTATTTAAAAATCTTGGTTAAACAATGAACAAATATAACATCTGAAGTTATTTTTATACCATCCCGTGTTGCAGGAAAGACACATAGACATTAAAAATGTAATTATATATTATAATCTTCTCACTTTCTATTGCGACATTTTATAAGCAATTCAATTTAAAAGAAGCCGACATGGTTCAGTAGCAAATCTTTTTCATGCTATTATTCCCAGAATTCACAACAGATAAGCAGAATTGACAGTAGACACTTGAATATAAAACATAAAACGTTTTTATTGGAATATGTCAGGAGCAAAGAACTCTTTGTCTGCAGGTTATCTAACAGATCTGCAAAGCTTGAAAATTGGACAAGCTGACATAACAATCTCTTCAGTCAATATACTATATACCAAAAACTCAGTTTTAAAGTTTCACTTTTTAAATATAGTTCAGAGGATTCCTTGTTCAAATATATATCCAAATAATAAAAATGCATAGAAATGTGTATTACTTCAAGACTCTTAGTTGTCCTATGTCAAATGTGCAAATCACAAACAAGAGACTCCCAACCCAACATCAAATTAAAAACAAGTACTGTTCAGGAGACTCATTCATTTTATTCTAGAAACTGGGTTACATTCTCAATTTTTTCAATGTGAACATTCCTTCATCTTGTCTTGATGCTGACTAAGCATTGTCATGATTAGTAGCAGTTCTGGTCTTTTGGAGTAATCCCTTTCAAAAGTTTTCCCGAAGATCAAGGTTTACATTTTACAATTTACACTACCAAATCTTGGAGGAAGCAGGTATCTTGGTTTGAAATTCAATGTGAGACAGAATGTATTTTAATAACATATCCCACCCCCAAAGCACAAAACCGACCTAAACTTTGGGCACAAGAAATCTCACAGGCTGACAGATACAGCTCTGGCTGGGCACAAAATTGATTTAAGAACATTTTCCACCCATGAATAAATAACAAAGAATTTAATGTTTTTGACAAATTAGTATCCTGTAAAAAATAAAACACAGAATATTACTTTCAGAAAAGTAAAGAAATGTAAGAAGACTTCTCTTCTGAATCTATTTATTTTAATCCAATCTGGGAGAAAATTCAGAAGTGATGTGTTCATAGTCACCTACTTTCAGACAGGGTTGGGAAGGAGGCAACAATTTCACTCTTTTCTGTCAGGAATTTTTAGAACGAGCATGTACAACAGCAAATGTATGGACGGAAAGTCTTGTGTTTGAGCCCCTGTCCAAAATATCGCAAGATGAGATGACATTTTGCAGAGCCTGAGCATACACTGAAAGAGAAATTAGCTTTATTGGGATATATACAGTTTTGAAGGCAAAAACAATGGAAAGCATGATGTTATGTGCTATTTGGAAATTAAACATTTTGTCCTCTACAATAGTAGAGGCTATACAATCAATGTAGTAGTTCAAACAATGTTTATGGATTTTACTACCATAAGGTACAATCACAGGTTAATCATTGTTTTTTTATATATATATATATACATACATACATACATACATACATACATACATACATACATACACCGTATTTTCCGGCGTATAAGACGACTGGGCGTATAAGACGACCCCCGACTTTTCCTGTTAAAATATAGGGTTTGGGCTATACTCACCGTATAAGACTACCCCTCTTCCAACATACACCAAATAAAAATTAAAAAACATCAACTGGCTCACCCACAATGTAAAAGCAGCTGTGCTAGACCCAAAATGGCCCCTGCAACAAGCAGGAACTTCACACAGCCACAAAAAGCCCAAAAAAACAACTTTCACACTTTACACACACACAACACAACACAACTGGCTCACCCACAATGTAAAAGCAGCTATGCTAGACCCAAAATGGCCCCTGCAACAAGCAGGAACCTCACACAGCCACAAAAAGCCCAAAAAAACAACTTTCACACTTTACACACACAAAATTTCACATACAGCTTTGTGAGATTTTGTGTGTTTGTGTAGTTAGAGTGAAACACTACAGAAACACACTAAATCTCAGAAAGCTGCACAAATATTATTTTATTTTTATTTTTATATGAAAACTAAATTTAAAACTTCCTAAACTTTAAATGGCTAGGTCTAAAAAAGAACAACTAAAAAAAAAAACCAATTAACTATTTTTTTTAAAGCTCCTAAAGGGGAAAAAAACTTACCCAATAGATCAGGGGTCTCCAACCTTGGCAACTTTAAGACTTGTAGACTTCAACTCCCAGAATTCCTCAGCCAGCTTTGTTTTGCTGGCTGAGGAATTCTGGGAGTTGAAGTCCACAACTCCTGCCTGCTTGATTGCAGGCAGGGAGTGGCTTGCTGATGGAATGGATTCAGGCAAGCGAAGCAAGGCAAGCATTGCGATTAGCAGCTAAGGTAAGCAAGCTGGAGGGGGAAAACTTTTTTCCTTTTACAGGACTCTGGCAATCCCAGCTGAGTTGCCTCATTAGCAGGCAACTCAGCTGGGATCGTCAGAGCTTGGATAGATGGCTCTGGCGATCCCAGCTGCGTTGCCTGATTGGCAGGCAACTCAGCTGGGATCATCAGAGCTTGAGAGCCACGTAAAAGGAAAAAACTTTTTTCCTTTTACATGGCTCTGGCATCCCAGCTAAGTTGCCTGATTAGCAGGCAAAGCTGGGATCGTCAGAGCTTGGATCGCCAGAGCCATTTAAGGGTCGTCAGAGTCTTTCGGGCTGGTCTGCCTGGTTATAGGAGAACGACACCCGGCGTATAAGACGACCCCCAACTTTTGAGAAGATTTTCATGTGTTAAAAAGTCATCTTATACGACGGAAAATACGGTATCAGTATATATATATACATATATATCCCAAAGAGCAGCACAGAATTGCTGTTTGTCAGCAGAAAAAAAGCCCAGAAACTTGTGAATGAGATTTCACAGAACCAGGGCTGTAGAACATCTTAGCTTACGTAGGTAAAACCTGGCTAGAAAGAATATGCATACATATATATATATATATAAGGAAAATGAGTTTCTTTTCTAAATGTCAATGTACCAAATTTTAGGAAGGCAGCAGTTGGGGTGGGAGTTCCATTTTCATAGCTTTTGTTTTTCCCAATCATATCTTGTTGGTCAGTTAGCAACAGAATGCCAGTCTCAATAGATTTTCAACCTGACTCAACATGGCAATTTATTTATTAAGAAAATTTATATGGCCACACAACTCACGCATCCTGACTCTAAGGCAGTTCAGAGAATTTCTTATCTAACTGCAAGGCTGTGAGTTTTATCAGTGTGATACAGCAAAATAGTTTCTTTCTTTACATTGCATTGCTTGTCTGTAAGAATCACAATTCAAAGTCTTTGTATTATACACAAAGTCAGGTATTAAAATCTTTTTTTATACAAAGGAGTTTCTTCAAAGGAGAGAACAATAATTAAAAATATTTACTACAGTATGAAGCAGCAGGGATTTTGTGTGACCAAACAGAATGTACAGCTGTAGATAGGCAAAGAATGAAAGTTAAGTTTGAGCAACTTCTATTGTGAAGTACAGTATCCCACCTTCTTCACTTCATTTCAAGAGCTTTGAACAGATATATTGCTTTAAGTTCTGAATGAACAATACCTGATCACAGCAGGCAATCTTGGGACCTATCTTTGTTGTTTAATGTACATCTACAGATTTAGAATCTGTCTGTTCAGTTCTTTATGTGGTATTTAATTGCCAATGTTTTTAAGCTGGTTACTGCAACTGTAACTTAGGTTCAAAGCTCTCCCTTTCACAGAACTGAAATGCTCTCAAACTGAGCAGAAGCCGAATTTGTTTCAAATCTTATATCTACAATTGCAAGAGAAAAGTGTGGAAGAAAATATTTCCACACAAACTGTAATTAACAATACTTTGCCCAAAGTTATGGCAGATTAGAAAAATTATCTCACTCAATGTCAGTTTGCACATCTGTCACGGACAGTGACATCACCGGTGGTGCACTGAGTTGCCTTCTCTATTGCACCAGCTGTTTTAAAACACACTGAATCAAATCCAAATGAGGAGGGCCGGTACTGAAAGTAATGGAACAAGGAGGACTTCCAAATATGATACCTTTGTGGTTTTTGTAGAACATACAGTTGTTGGCACAGCTATCGGGGTGAGTGTCCCAGAAATCTGACCCACAAAAGCACAAGGGAGGCAAATGTATATTATACATGTCAATCTTCTCTCGCATCTGGGCTCGTAATGCTTCCACATATCTGCAAAACACATTTTTTTCCCTGTTCAGCAACAATTTTAAAGCCTTAGTGCTACAACCAAATTTCCTGGCTGAAATCTGTTCAACATATTTCAACTATTTTTCTTCTGCAACAAACAAGCAAACCAAACCAAACAAGGAGCTATAAGGTCACTTAGGTTTACTGGGACACAAGCTTTTATGGACTAGAATCAAGTTTGCAAGATTCATAAAGTGTCATTTTCAATCGGTGTGCAAATTAACATAAGCTCTTGAAATGTTTAATGATTAAAATTAAAGTAATTAAAGTATTAACATTAGATAATTTAAATTGTTTTTTAAAAAATACTCTACATCATTACATAGGACATCTTCAATCACATAGTTACAGAAAAGGTATTGAAACCTAATATAACTACAGTAAGTTCAAAATACAAGCCTCAGATAAGAATCAGCAATATAATGAAGCCTGGATTTAATAGTTCAGGAAGATGAGACTTATTGTATTTTCATCCGATGTTATATCCAATTTAATGGGCATTCAGAAATAACGGACATTCCCTCTCCCCTACTGTGATCTTTTAAACCTGGGTATACTGCATATCTGAAATGCTTGAAAAAATTCAGGAAGGTCTGTCTTTTATTGATAGCTTCCTCAATTCTAATCATCTGGAGGCCCACAGAAGAGAGCTGCAAGTAAATTGATAGGCTCACAGAGGCAGCCATTTCTCCAAGTGCTTCTTGTATTAATGTTCTACAGTGGATGTGGAGCCTCAGGTGGCCTCTGGTCATTCTGCTTGTCCATAATCACATGCTGCTGCTGCTGCTGTGCCTGACCAATGGGACCATTCCTACAACTGTCAATCCTACAATTATCACCAACTTATTGTAATATCCTGGAGCAAGATAACCAAGTGAAAAGGTTGGTTGGAAGCATCTGCAAGTATTTTGACCAGGTACTGGTTATGTTTGCTGGTTTAGCAACTTGATAGAACTCTTAGAAATATAGGTAGTCCTCGACTTACAAATTTGTTTAGTGACCGTTTGAAGTTTCAATGGCACTGAAGTGACTTATGACCGTTTTTCACACTTACGACTATGAGGCATCCTCATGGTCACGTGATCAAAATTCAGATGCTTGGCAACTGACTCATTTATGACGGTTACAGTGGTCAGGGTCATGTAATCAACTTTTGTGACCTTCTGACAAGCAAAGTCAATGGGGAAACCAGTTTCACTTAACAAATGTATTACTAATTTACCAACAATGGTGATTCACTTAATAACCATGGCAACAAATGTTGTAAAATGGGGCAAAACTCACTTAATGAATGTTTCACATAATGACAGAAATTTGGGCTCAATTGTGGTCGTAAGTTGAGAATTACCTGTACTCAATACCTGGAGAAGTTCAGCTGCCTTTGGTTGTACTGGTGGTGCTCCCCATCATTTATCTCCCAAATAGATACTAGGGACTAAGAAAGACCTTGGCCTTTAGGCTTTATCAGGAGACTGGACTAGGTGAATGTTTGTTCTGGTCTGGCAGTGCTTGTAAATGCATGTTTATTGGATTCCAAACTTTAACTCACCTAGAATATTCTTTATTTTTTTGTACTCTTTCCACTATTTTTTTCTTTTCTTCTGGCTCTTCCAGTTTCAGTTGTTGCAGTTTTTCACAGGCTTTCCCCCTGGGGTTAGCATTTTTTTGTGACGCCATCTCCTGTGTCCTTTTCTCCTTTGCTCGCTGTGCCTCCTGTATCCTCTGTTCCTCTGCACGGCGCTGATACTCCTTTTCTTTCCTAATTCTGTAGCAGACAAAATTTCCAATCATTCAGAATTAGTTATTGGAGTACAGAATCAAATATTAGAGGAACACAGCTGTCCATTCTGTTATGCTATCAAATTTCTATATGAAATAAAAGGAAGATTATAAAATCTGGTTAAAGGCATATTATTGTTACTTTAGTTTCAGCAGACTGAAAACATAACAATCAGCTTTGCATCTTATTTAGCAAGTTTCTGCATGGTATACTTGACTGTGTATTCCACATTACAACTTTTTTCCCCCTTTACCTGCAAATGTTTGGTTTCTAACCAACTATACATTAGAACAAAACAAAAAATCTCCAAACAATAATTAGTATAAAAGAGCTAGGGACAGTGCAAAAGAAAACTGAAGAGAAATAAGAGGTTTCTAACAAAAATATTGACAAAAAGAGTATATCAGCTAGAGAATTCTGTATACAGGTAGTCCCCAACTTACATCAGTTCATTTAGTGACTGTTCAAAGTTACAATGGCACTGGAAAAAGTGACTTATGACCATTTTTCACACTTATGACCGTTGCAGCATCCCTGTGGTCACATGATTTACATACAGATGCTTGACAACTGGTTCATATTTATGACGGTTGCAATGTCTCAGGGTCATGTAATCAACTTTTATGATCTTCTGACAAGAGAAGTTAATGGGGAGACCAGATTCACTTAACAAGTGGGTTACTACCATATTTTTTGGAGTATAAGACGCACCTACCTTTTTTGGTGAGGAAAAGAAGAAAAAGAAATCTCCCTCTGCCTCTGAGCAATTTTGCCTCATTGCAGCAAACAGCCAACAGCCTGCTTTACTTTCATTTTCGTTTTCAGCATAGCTTGATTAGCACAAGGAAAAAAAAATCTGCTCCAGCAATTTACCTCTTTGCACCAAGCAGCAGAGCCCTGCACAAAACAGCTGAGAACAAATCAGCTGAGAGTCGGGAGGCCGATCCAATCAACTTGTGCTAATTAGTCTGTGCTGAAGCTGAAAGGAGCTGTTTTTTCTTGCTGTTTGCTTGCAAGGAGGTAACTGCTGCAAGGCAGAGGCCAAAGGGTAGGGGCCACTGGGTGGGCGGGGGAAACCTAAATTTTCACCCCCTTTTAGGGGGTAAAAAGGTGTGTCTTATACTCCGAAAAATACCGTAATTTAACAATTGCAGTGATTCATTTAACAAATGTGACAAGAAAAGCTGTAAAAGGGGGCAAAACTCACTTAACAAATTTCTCACTTAGCAACATAAATTCAGGGCTCCATTTTGGTCAAGGACTACCTGTACAGGAATGGTACAAGAGAGCTTTCATTATAAAATCATAAAAGTTCATTCAAATTCAGTCTCTCACAACAGTCTTCAGTCACATAATTAATGGAAATAGCCATATTCAGAAAAAAGATATTCCCAAATATTAGTCAATAGGGCACAAACAAGTTGTTGTGTTTATGCCATATCTAGACTTCCTAGAGAGGTCTGGTTAGTCACTGCATGAAAACAGAATGGTGGGTGAAATCAACCTTCAGCCCAAATCATCAGAGGGTAATTGCGTAGCTGCTGCCAGCTTACTAAATCAAAAGCTCTTCAAATCAATGGAAAAATACAAGAATTTAAAAGGAAAAATATTTGTTTTAGAAAACCACGCTGCTTAAGAAAACGTAGCCATTTAACTCTGTTGTTTTTCTCCCTTGGGCAATCTCTTTAAAACTCAATATTTGTCCAGACTTTACTGCATCATTGTAAAGTTTTCACTAGTAAAACGCTATGGGAGCAAGGGTAAGTTAACCAAATACTTACAATAAAAGACAGCATTCTCTCCTGAATAAAAAGGCTCTGCCAAGTAATTTATAATAGAAGATTCCTCATAAGGCAATATATCAGCAACAAACAGCACAAGTAATAATTAATGGTAGTTTAACGGAAACCTTTAATATAGAAAAGGGACAAGACAAGGATGTCCTTTATCTCCATTATTGTTTATTTTGACTTTGGAAATTTTGTTGAATAAAATACGTGGTTCAGATAAAATAAGGGGAATTAAAATTAGGAATGAGGATTACAGGGTACGAGCATTCGCAGACGACCTGGTTGTGACTCTGACCCAACCAATAAATTCAGTTAGAGGTTTAATGGATATAATTAACCAATATGGACAAGTCTCTGGATTTAAAATTAATGCAGGGAAAACGAAGATAATAATTAAAAATATGGTTACAAGTCAAAAAGAAGAAATTGAAAGAATAACAGGATTTGAATCAGTTAAGAAGGTTAAATATTTAGGGGTTTACAACATCAAAAGTGGGTTTACAACATCAAATGCGAAATTATACAAGTATAATTATGAAGTACTGTGGCAAAAAATCCAGAAAGAGATGGAAAGTTGGAAAAAAATGCAATTATCATTGCTGGGAAGGATAGCTGCAGTAAAGATGAATATTTTGCCAAAATTTTTATTTCTTTTCCAAATGATACCAATACTGAAAAAAGATGGAAATTTGAATGAATGGCAGAAGGGTATTACCAATTTTGTGTGGGCAGGAAAGAGACCAAGGATAAAACGGAAAATAATGCAAGACATACGAGGAGGTCTCAAAATGCCTAATTTAAGATTGTATTATGAGGCAGCTGTGCTCTCAGCAATTAGTGATTGGATTAATTTAACAGAAGAGAGAATATTGAATATTGAAGGGTATGATTTGTTATATGGATGGCATGCATATTTACTATATGATAAAAAGGTGGATAAGAATTTTAAAAGTCATATATTAAGAAATGCATTGTTACGTGTATGGAAAAAGTATCAATATAAATTAAATAACAAATTACCTGTTTGGACAATACCTAGACATATGATAGAAAATATAAGTGTGGAGCAGAAACAAGATGTGACTACCTATAAAGAGCTTCTTATTTTGGAAAGAGGTATATTGCAATTAAAATCTTTAGAGGTATTAAAGGAAGAAAGGAAAATTCAAACCTGGTTTCAATATGGGCAATTGTATACTAGGTGGAAAGAAGATCAGAAAATTGGTATTGTGCAAAATGAAGAAAATTTAATAAAACAAATCAGAGATCAAAGTCCAATGCATATTAAAAGGTTGTATAATGCACTGATAGAAATATTCAGAAACTGAGTTAGTGAAGGATTGTATGATAAAATGGGCACAAAACTTTGGGGAATCAATATCTATGGATGTATGGGAGAAAATATGGGTTAGAAATGTGAAGTTTACTCAAGCCCAAAATCTAAGAGAAAATTTTTATAAAATGTTTTATAGATGGCACTTAGATCCCCAAAAGTTAGCCTGTATGTACCCGAATTTACAACCTACATGTTGGAGATGTAAACGTGATGATGCAATGTATTTTCTTGTATAGTGGACATGTAAGAAAATTAAGGCATTTTGGATTAAGATATGGTGGATTATACAAAATATTCTTAAAAGGAAGATAAAATTTACTCCACAGTTGTTTTTACTGGGTATAATTGAAGGATGTACAGTAGAGACCAATTTGATTTTGAATTTAATAACGGCAGCCAGACTTTTGGTGGCGCAATACTGGAAGAAGGAAGAAATACCTACTATTGAAGAATGGACATTAAAAGTAGCCAATCTGGTGGAGATGGCTAAAATTTCTGCATATTTGAAGGACCGTTCGAATGAAAGATATGTACTGGAATGGAGAAGATGGATTGACTATATACAAAACAAATACGGGACTAAAAAGTTGTAAATAGCTTATGAATGAAATATTCAGATGATTTTTTTTTTCTCTCTCTCTCTCTTCTACTTTCACCTATGGCGGAGTTAAAGAGTAAGGGGAAGTTAAGAGTTTATAGTTTGCTTATGTTAGATTATGTTTGTTAAATGCAATACCCTGTATTTTGCTCTGGGAAGTCGGGGGGGGGGAGGGGAGGGAGAGGGGAAGGGGAAGGGGTGGGAATTTGTTTGTAAAACATTTTAAAACTTTTCAATAAAAAAAAGAGAGAGAAGATTCCTCAGATGTTATGAGAAAGTAAATCTCTGCTTCAATGTACAACTTGCCCAGGTGACCTCTCTAAGATTCTTTACCACTTCATTTTTTAAAAATATATCCAATAAAAAAAAATTTCCCCTGGAGCCCAGATATGCTTTTAAAAAATGACAATGACATAGCTTGGCACCATTTTTTAAAACTTCATTTTACTATAGTTCAAGTGAGATATTATAGCACCAAGGCCCCATAACTATGACAGGAAAAGGAAAGCTATAGGTCAGAACAGCTGTGTTGCCAGCTGTCAGTTATTTCTGATACTCTCCTGGCCACTAAAATTAATGAAATGAGAAGCTGGTATGGTGAACAGTAAAATACCAGTTTCATCTTTATTTTTGAGCTCCATAGAGACATTTTTAGAAATCAAAAATGAGTGGCTACCACCCAATAATTCCTTAGACTTTTTGCTTTCAAAAGTATAGAGCAATGTTAGCAATCATTTTTTTATATTCAAGAGATTATAGGCAAAAAAGAATGGTCATCTACTGAATGTGTACTTGTCCATTTTCCTCTGCCACTCCTTCTGTCTTTGCTGCTCCTTCACTTGCTCTCTTTCGATATCCATGAAGAGGCGCCTATACCTCAGATACTGGCTTTGGTGCTACAGAAAAAGAAGAGTTTCAGTTGGATCCTAATGCTGTATCGTGCTATTCCACGTACCACCAAGGAAATTTTTACTTTATTCTTCTTCCTGACCACAGCAAAGGCAAATAAATACAGCGTGGACCATACCAGTGATTTAACCTGGACCACCTATCATTTGTGTTCTCAATAGTTGCATTTAGAGTAAATTCGCATGAAATAATTAAATGAAGAATTAATACATGATGAACCAGTATATTTTTTTGTTCCTTCGAATCTCATCTGAATCCTATTAGATTGCAAGTCAGTGGACTATGTTTTAAAATTTTTTGCAAGGTTTCTCAAGTGTATCATTAAGCTCAGACATAATACACAATCTATCTCTAGCTCTATTAACACAAAAATGTAAAATTTTATCTCTTTTTTCCTCCAACCAAGGAACCTGGACATTTCACATATAAGATAGAAAATTTGGAAGTTAAATCTGGCCTATTTTCAAAAATAAAAATTGTCTATTGACAGTTTGGATTTGTTTTTTACATACCTGCTCACACACATGCATGAATTGGGACATTAGCTATCTCTGTGTTATCTTATAGTGTAAGATTTCAGCTTACAGTGTAAGCACTTTTTAGTGCTTGCTCTTTTTAGCGTTCCATAATTAGGGAGTTTCATTGTTACATATTACAAGGTTATACTTGTACTTATATTGTTATAATTTATTGGAGAAGTTCACCAAACAGATCTCTTCAGGTAGACTTCATTCTGCTGGCTTGTAATTAGGCCACAATTAAATAAAGACACACACAAATCTACTCCTAGCAACTGCACACAGGAATTGTTACAAAAAGTTTTCATATATATTATATATATAAATTTTTCACTATCCGGCCTTGGAATTCTCAGACAGCCTATCCAAATTGACCTATGCTGATTTTGGTAACATCTGGGATTAGGTCAGGCTGCCTAGTGCTGCCACCTATGGATAGAAACAATAATTCTAATCTTTACTCAGGGATCAGCAATGAGATACATAATAAGGTACCTGATCAAAGAATCTCCCTTTCAGTCATGATAGCACTGAATAAGGTGAATTAATGTAAGATTATATACCTGCTTCTTTGATTGTTCCTCCTCTATTCCAGGCCAGAATATATGAACAGCACGAGTCTCAGTATTAGCTGGATTATTATCTTTCAAGGTATCACTATTTACCTGGAAGAAAAAACAGAGAGTAAACTTTTGAAATAATCATACATGTGATCATAAAAAACTACCATTGAAACCTGGATAGCTTTTTCCATAATTTTTTCAAAATGTTTCTTCTTGCCTGTTATGTAACAGTGCAAGCTTTAACATACCCACACTATCAAGCAAAGAATAAGATCCTGCATCCTATTACTATTATTGGTTACTGAAAATAACTTTTTTTGGTTTTGATAAAGAGCTATACAGAACTGTACCAAATCCCCAATCTCCGGACAACAGCCTAAAATATGTATGCGAAATAACATGGAAAGCAAAACAGAACACTCCTCTGCACCCCACCAGATTAATTTTTCCCTGAAAAGTGTCTTTATGTTGTGAAGAACACAACTATAAAAACTTTGGTGGCAATCCCATTATATATGAAGGGTCAATTCAGAAAATCTCTTATAACCTTCAGCCCTAACCATGATGTATTTCACTATTATGTTGCAAAATTGTCCATGCAATTTACCTAATACTTACCATATAAAAAGGGTTATATCAGCAATATGCAATTATTGTTATAGGGCAAAAGAAAAATTAATGCATAAAACTTCTGCAATACATCAATATATGCCTAAATCACATTTCTTGGACCTGTTTTGTTAGGACAAAAAAAAAATTGAAAGGTTTTTATATTATAACTAAGCTACAGTAATTTAGCCATATATTGTTTGAATCTTGAGCTACTTGTCTGTACTAAAATAGAAAGCATTTTAATGTTCAGTTCAAGAATTCACAGGCAAATAAGAGGAGCAGCTTTTCACTTCAATAATACAGTCTCTCAACGAAGGTACCAAGAATGCCAATATTTTGCCAAAAGTGTTTAACATAATTCAGATTATTTATTTATATATCAAATTTACATGGCTATTCATCTCACAAGAAATGAGTGTAAATAATGAAATAGAAGATATATATAACATACATATATATAAAGCCATCATTATAAAAATTAAAACATATATTAAAATATTATTAAAAATTAAAATATACATTTTAATGGTATTTAATGGTGTGGAGTGATCATATCAACCACAATAGTGGAGCCATCTTAGAATGTTATTGGTTCCCTGAGACTCCCAAGCCTGGTGATATAACCAGATATTGAGGGATTTTTGGAATATTAACAGGGATAGAGTTAACTGGGGGTGGGGTGGGGAGTTGCATAAGGCAGATGACATGGCAGAGAAGGCCCATTTCCTTGGAACTATCAAATGTAAAGCCCTAGCAGATGGTTAGTTGAACTAGATGTTAGTTACAAATCTCATAATTGAGAAGTCTTACTTTTTGAAATTCTGTGTTGTCCCAATTTCCTACCTCTTGTTCTTGAAGTTCAGCTGGAAGATCATGGTGTCCCTTCAGAGGAAGTTCTCCCATATCACCCTCTTTTGGGCTTAGAGTAGTTTTGTTGCAAGGTTCTGCTTGCTGTTAAAAAGCAGGATATAGATATCTAAACAAACATTCAGGTTCAGTAAGGAACTCATTTGAATCCTGTCTAGGTTTGGGCATAATGAAAGCAAATCAAGCAAATAAAGTCTAATGACAGACCTCTGTTCATTGAGGTTTTTTTGCAAATCACGTGGAAATGTGTCCCTCCAAGCTTGCATAATTATTTTGGTGCAAGGAAAATCCTTCTCTAACCTAATAACTTCCACTTGATTTTCAGCTGCATTTGCCAGAATTCTCAACCAGGATATCCACGCCTATATTTAGGAGCCATAGTGGTGCAGTGGTTAGAATGCAGTATTGCAGGCTAACTGCCAACAGCCAAGAGTTTGATCCTCAACAGCTCAAGGCTGACTCAGCCTTCCATCCTTCTGAGGTCAGTAAAATGAGGACCCAGATTGTTGGGGGCAATAGGCTGACTGTAGGGTTTGCTTAGAGAGGGTTTTAAAACAGTATGAAGTGTTATATAAGTCTAAGTGGTATTCAAAATGTTCCATTTTCTTGCCATGTCTTGATTTACTGTTTTTAGGGAAAACATAGTAAATGGAAATTTAATTCCCTGCTTTACATGCAAATACTACAGTTCTTAGCATTCATGACATTATAAGCATTTTTGTGCTAATGACCTGTCTTCTTGGAGGATTTTGATGAGCACCTCCTGGATGTTCTGGAGGTTCATTTCCTTCTGGAACAGCTTTTCGAGAAGCTAGTTTGTGACGGACCTGTTGCACCGTTTTCCTTACCTGAAAGAAGAGATTTATACAAAGAAGCAGATAGCACACATTATAAACAGGGTTTACTTGTCATTCGTGTATTAAGTCAGAGAACTGAAAACAGAAAAAAACATTTACTGTTTTGGCTAGCTCCGAGAACTGCTCCGGCATGTAATCAGCTTGCTGTACGTAGGTGACTTTGTCATTAGAATTGCCAATAGCAGAATCTCTGGTATATCTGTAGAGACATGTATTTTTCTTAGGGGTCAACTGCAAAGCAGAATCTGAAAATCCTATAATAACAGAGCTTTCTTTCAGGGCCTGTCAAAAGAGAAAAAAAGTGTGAAAATGAGATGCATACAAGCTTAAAATGACAATGGAAAAGAAATAGGTATCAAATGATGGAAAAGCATAAATACACTGTATGAAGAGATCAGTAGTTTTAAACTGAAACGGATACGATTAAAAATAATCCTTGAAATATTGATTTATTGACAAATGGATTCCATTAAATTATTTTCTAAAAATTTGGAAAAAAGATAGATATCTGAAAGTTAGATTGCAGTAAATATGAGCTAAAATAATCTCAAAAAGGCTTAACAGCAATAGAATTGCTGTTACATTGAAATATGTAATTAAGTAGCCTGTGGAACTAAGGAGTGGTGTCTTTTAAAATTCAAAAACCAAGATCACCCAACAATTTTGTTATTTATGTTAAAATAATTTCATTTATAGGAAAAGAAACAGGCAGATTAAAATAACTACTCTCCAAACTAAATTGATGTTTTTTTATTGCACAGAAATTCAGTTTTCAAGAAATTCACATTTATTTATTTATTTATTTTATTTTATTTTATTTGTATACCACCCTACTCCCGAAGGACTCAGGGCAGTGAACAGCCAAGCAATAAAATACATAAATACACAAAATTTAAAACCAGATAAAATCAAATTAAATCATTTTGGCCCAGACAGATTAAAACACCCCAATAATTTAAAAACAGATTAAAATTTACATATTAAAATAGGGAGGAGATTAGGCCAAGCCCGCTTGATGGAATAAAAAAGTCTTCACAGCGCGGCGGAAGGTGCGCAGATCCAGAATCCTCCGTATCTCTGGGGGGAGCTCATTCCAGACGGTAGGTGCCCCCACAGAGAAGGCTCTCCCCCTAGGGGTCGCCAGCCGACACTGTTTGGCTGACGGCACCCTGAGGAGTCCCTCTCTATGAGAGCGTACTGGCCGGTGGGAGGCGATTGGTGGTAGTAGGCGGTCCCGTAGATAACCAGGTCCTAAGCCATGGAGCGCTTTGAAGGTGGTAACCAAAACCTTGAAGCACACCCGGAAGACCACCGGGAGCCAGTGCAGCTCGCGCAGGAGAGGTGTCACATGGGAGCGCCATGACGCTCCCATTACCACCCGCGCGGCCGCACTCTGCGCCAGTTGGAGCCTCCGGGTGCTCAAGGGGAGCCCCATGTAGAGAGCATTACAATAGTCCAGGCGGGAGGTGACGAGGGCATGAGTGACCGTGCGTAACGAGTCCCGATCCAGAAAGGGACGCAACTGGCGAATCAGGCGAACCTGATAAAAAATCCTCCCGGTCACGGCCGTCAGGTGCTCTTCTAAAGACAGCCGTGAATCCAGGAGGACTGAGGAGCAACCCCTGTCTCGAGCCCTCCAGAGATCATCAACCAATGCGACCAATGCTGTCTCTGTGCTGTACCCGGGCCTGAATCCCAACTGGAACGGATCTAGATAATTCGATTCATCCAGGTACTGAGGCAGTTGTCGTGCAACCACACTCTCAACAACCTTTGCAACAAAGCGAAGGTTGGAGACAGGACGATAATTTGCTAATACAGCTGGATCCAGGGAGGGCTTCTTGAGGAGGGGCCTCACCACCGCCTCTTTCAAGACGGTGGGAAAGACACCCTCACTCAAAAAAGCATTTATAATCTCCTGGAGCCAGCCTCGTGTCACCTCCCGGGAGGCCAGTACCAACCAGGATGGACACGGTCCAATAAACATGTGGTCGCCTTTAGTCTGTTCAGTATCCTGTCCATGCTTTCGGGAGTCACAGGATCAAACTCTTCCCAAATAATATTCTCAGGACCTGCCCCTGTCATCTCCTCTGGATCAATCCAGTCAGAGTCTAGCTGTTCACGAATCTGAGCAATTTTGTCATACAGATATTGTACAAAATCCTCAGCTCTACCCTCCAAGGGGTCTTCCCGCGTCTCTTGATGGAGCAGAGAGCGGGTCACCCTAAACAGGGCGGCTGGGCGATTATCTGATGACGCAATAAGAGTAGAAAAGTAGTTACTCTTCTCTACTCTTATTGCCACTAGGTAATTCTTAATATGAGATCTTACCAGTGTTCGGTCGGATTCAGAACGACTAGCCCTCCAACTGCTCTCTAGGCGTCTTTTCCGGCGCTTCATCTCCCTCAGCTCCTCAGTATACCAAGGAGCCAGGTGAGACCGGCACCGGGTCAGAGGCCGCAAAGGCACGACTCGGTCTAAAGCATCAGCCGCCGCCCTATCCCAGGCGGCCACTAAGTCCTCAGCCGAGTCATGTGCTAGAACCTCAGGAAATGGCCCAAGCTCCATCTGGAATCTCTCAGGATCCATCAGGCGCCTGGGGCGGAACCACCTGGTCGGTTCCGCCTCCCTGCGGCGGGGTGTGGTGGTTCGAAGGTCCAGGCGAAGGAGGGAGTGATCTGACCATGACAAGGGTTCAATCACTATATCCCCTATCTCGAGATAACTCAACCACTGTCCAGAGACAAAAACAAGGTCCAGTGTGTGTCCCCCCATGTGAGTAGAGCCATAAATTAACTGGGTCAGGTCCATAGCCGTCATGGAAGCCATGAACTCCCGAGCCACCTCAGATGTCTCGCCAACTGATGACAGGTTAAAATCCCCCATGACCATAAGCCTGGGGGTGTCAACAGCCACCGCGGCTATAACATCAAGCAGCTCAGGCAGGGCTGCTGCCACATGGCAGGGAGCCAGGTACGTGACTAGCAAGCCCAACTGCACCCTATGACCCCACTTCACAAGAAGGGACTCACATCCAGCCGTCTGAGGAACAGTGGCCTCCCTTGGTCCAAGACCCTCGTTAATAACAACCGCCACCCCTCCGCCCCTCCCCTGAGAACTTGGCTGATGGAAAGCACGGAAACCTGGTGGGCACATATCAACAAGGGGGGCTCCCCCTTCCTGGCCCAACCAGGTCTCCGTAATACCCGCCAGGTCCGCACCCCCCTCCTGAATAAGATCACAAATGAGGGGGGCTTTATTTACCACGGACCTGGCATTGCACAGCATCAGCCGAAGGCCTGGGGCCCGGGGTTCCGTACAACCTGGGGAACGAGAAGAGCTTTGAGGGTCGGAGCGCGCCACCGATTGTAAACAGCGAGGACGCACTCCCTTAGGATGATGTGCCCCCCTGCTCCCACCATATCTGCCCCTCCCACCTACAGTATCGATGTTATGGGCATCTGTATCGTAAGATCTAATCATCTCCTTGACCCCAGAGTTCACACCTCCCATGCCATGCCCTACGGCTGGCCCAGATACCCTCCCCCGCGGGTCTTCCCCCGAACCCACGTAATCTACCCCCCCTCCCAGAATCCCTTAAAATCTTATTAAGAAATTTCCCTAAAACACCCCATAACCCTCTTTTTGCTGTATGCCATCTCTCCGGACTCCAAAGTCCGTCATCGAGATAGGCCCTCGATAAAGAAGAGGGCCAGACCTGCGAGAGCGGGGCATCTTGCAGTTTGAGGAGTTCTCCCAATGAGTACATTTTGTAGCTAGATAGTCTATAGCTGGTAGGCATGTCCTAGTTATCCAGGGTCCTGTGGAGAGAGTATCAATTAGAGGTACAAGTCATTTTAGTCCTGCTGAACTCTCATATCAGCGGTAGAAAGAGCCATTTTGAACTCAGATGTGAACATCGATCACCCTCTCACGGCAACCAGATATAAGGGAGGAAAACAGCAGCTATAGTCCTGTTCTTTCAATGTTGTACCTAGGCATAGATGGAATAGCCAATCCTTGAGATTAGAGATACAGATAGTCTGTGGGAAATATATATAGTAGGCGAAAATCCAGGGAGACTCAGATGAAATAGAAGTAAGGAAATTCTCATCCTGATATACAGGAAACAACAAACCTGGATAGCAAATGATTCACAAAAAGCCGAATATCCGGTCATAAAAGGGCGATAAGAGATAAAAATACAGGAGGGGAGATGGAATAAGGCAGTCACTTTGTAGAAGCAAAGCCCCCATGATAGATATAACAATCATTTCTAATCTCCTTAGCTTTCTTTAGGTCTTTTATGCATGAAGGTTTAACCCCCTCCCCTATAGAAAGAGAGGGGGGAGGCCTCTGGGATGGTAATCCAGAGCTGGCCCAACAATGGAAGGATCGGCATCTTTCCATTGCCCAGGAGATCAGTTGAAAATAAATAAGAAAGGTCCCTATTCTCCTTTCTGAGGCCTCTTTGGTCTCTAAATTGCTTTGGTTTTTGCTGCCTGTAACTGCCAACTGTAACTGCTATTTCGGGCGCCATTTTGGAATTTTAAACTGCCACCACCATCGGCCTCCTCCACACCGATTTCGCCCACCGCCGGCCTCTGCAGGCAACCTCCAATCTTGCCAAGGGTCTAACGAAGTCAGCCCAGGGTGCCAGACAGTCATCGCAGCCGTATATCGCCATCCATCCGGCAGCCTCTGATGAATGTAGGGCCGGCTGTCATGAAGTTATCGGCCCAAATTCGCTGACTCAAATCCCACCAGCACCGCCCGTCTCATTATAAGCTGTTTCAGAGAGCGAAGCCACAAAATCGCTCTCCTAGAAGGTCTTCCGGAGCCGAAAATGCTCCCATCGGATCGGCAAATCAGCCCTCTCAACACACCATGGGCCATAGATGGGTAATTGGCCCTAAGGACCCCCAACTGTCAGGACATTACCCCCGTAAAACCGGAGCTCCATCGGGAGTCGCCATCTTGGGCATGTGCGAGGGTATGTATCTATTTAAAAGAAATAGAACCTTACAGCTTCGTAAGATGTCTTCAACTGTTGTTTCCTCTTTAGATTAACACATTGGTTCACCCTGCGTTTTACCTCCTGCTGAAAATGTTTCAGTGTTTTCTCTTTTTCTTTTTGTTGTTCTTTGTATTCTTTTTCAATCTGAATAGCTGTAGCCTGTAGAAATAATTAGCATTAAAACAGATAAACAGATCACAAGGGAACCATATTTCAGAACAGCATCAAGCTTGCTGTTAATGCTTACTAAGTTTTGCTAATACAGCACACTTGTCTTCATGAAAGCATTCTTAGGATCACTTTGTATAGATAGATTCTACTGATACTGAAGACACATATTAAATATATACTTTTGATTTGTACCACTAACACAATGAACAAGGGTTCTAATTAAAACATAATAGCAATTAGTGGCCTTCCAGATGTTAGATTCCAGTATCTCTGGGTCCTACCCAGAATGGTACCCAGAGATGACAGGAATTGCAGGGCCACAGGCACCCCAATTAGCTTAATTAAAAGAAAAGGAATAAATCACAGCCTAAAAGCTATAAGTTGTTTTGATGTTTACCATTCAAAACTATACTACCATTACAGAATTCCTCAGAACAGAAATAGTTGTTAGATAACTACTACAACCTGAAGAAGTTTTAGATTCCATCTCCAACATCTGGAGATTTCAGTGAACCACTGCCAATTGGAGTAGAAAGTGAACCAGATGGTTTAATAGTCTGAATTTTTGATATTGATTTAGGTAATTTGAAACTTAATACTCACAAAAACTGGGCTCTCTTCTCCATTATCTTGGGCGCTCTCCACCCAGGCCCCAACAGGTGCTATGCACTGAGTTCTTCCTGCTAATATATTCCAGTTGACTGATGGAGGCCTCAAATTAGGCTGGGCAATTTTCTGGGAACCGTGTTGTTGTAGCCCCTTCTTGGGTGGTACCATCTCAGCAACAGGACAGTAAGGCCAAGGTTTCCTATGGAAAGACACTGTCATGCTTAATAAGCATTAATTTATAAGAAAAAACCTCTAGCTCTATTTATGTGCCAGAATCATCCTTTAAAGATAGCTGCTGCTAATTTAACTGGAAATACAAACTTACTAAAAAAATAAAACCTGTCTTGCCCTGTTTCTCTCAAAGCCAGCGAAGTTTCTTGTGACATTTTCTAAGAGATCAAGTAGCCCTACAATGCTGAGATCGCCAGAGTCCTCTTATTGCCTTAAGATCATTTTCCTACACGTTAAAATTTAATTTTTCTTGCATAATCATTACAAATATTCACACAATCCCTTGTTTACTTAGTATCATCTATCAATAAAGTCTGTCTCTTATATGAATTCCCCTTAAAAGCTTTAATTAAAGCAGAATTAAGTGTCTCTAACTGGCTGGAACAAAAAAAAATGGGGGTGAGAAGAAGGTATTTTAGTTTTCTCCTGAGTTTTCATCAGCGATTTAAAGATTATGGTTATGGAACTAGAGCTAAATACAATTCTCTTCTTTGTTTGGTAGTGTGTCCTTCCATGTTGTGCTCTATGGCAAAAAGATGGGATGTAACAATTAAAAATTACATAGATGCATTGCTCATTTGCTTGACCGTCTGCAGGTCTGTCCATACACCTGTAAACATCTGAGCAATTCTTAGCATTAAAGGTGACTCTTTCTGCAAGGAACTTTATGAAAGGTGGGGTATATCATATAAATATAGGTAGTCAGGTAAGGACAAGCAGGTGCGGTTGTCACTACATTGGGCCTTCATACTGTTCTGGAACCCCTCAATTACCTCCTTTTGGCCCCCACACCACCCATCCGAAGTTCGTAAATATGCTTCCTGCCAACCTTTTTAATACCGTAAGGCCATTTTGGCGAGGCTGTGGAATCGTCGCCATCACCAGCCACGGCTCCCGCCGCCCAGAGAACCCACTGGGGAGCCCCTCATTCCGGTCTCGGGCCCGCGGGGAACCTTCCCACCTGTTGGCAACAGCCCCCGCAGGAAAGATCGCGTCCCTCCGGGTTCACACCATCCCAGAGGCCGACCTCCGTCCCGCACCTTCCCGGCTTGGCTAGGATTCGGACTCAACCGCTACCATGGCAACCCCTCCTCCCGCGAGATTTGGCACCGGTACCGCTTGACCTGTAGCGCCGCTGCCATGGCAACCAGCTCCCCCTCCTTTTGTCTCCACGCGCTCACGTCTCTTTCCTCACCCTCAGAAAAAGCCCGCTTGGCTTCTCTCTGCAACCGTCGTTTTAAAACCTCGCGCCGCTTCCGCTCTAACTGCGCGATGGCTCCTCCCCGTCTTTCCCCGGGCACCAATCCGGGCGTAGAAGCGGCAGTGATGTCATAGTAAGACAGGCCCGGGCATGTGATTGGTGGATATTCTTACAGCCTTTGGCCGTGCTTTGGAAGGAGGGTCCGTTTGAAGTTTAACCCCGCCCTTCAACTCAAGGCCCCTCCTATTAAATATTGGTTGCGCCAATCAGCTGACTGGGTTTAAATTAAAGGCCACATCCCACTTTCGCTGTTGAAGCTGTTAAGTGGAGCTGAGAGGCTTGGGAAGCCCGAAAGCGCAGAGATATTTGGAGATGCTTTAGGAAGGGCGGCAAAAATACAGGCGGCCGCTAGAGGGGACTAGAGAGATTCGGAAAAGTCTCTTGGTCGCCCTCTAGGCGTGATTTGGAGTTTTGCAATGCAGCCCAGATTTATTTGCCCCTGTAGAAGTCAGGCATATAAATCATAATTATAACCCTGAATCAGTCTGCTACATAATGCAAATCTCAAGTTGTGTTTCAATTGCTTTGACATCTTGATTCCAGCTAGTATCGTTGAATTGAACTGGACATCATATGCCCAGCATTGCCTGGGACTTTTAAGATCACTTGGTATCTAATTGAAAATTGTTGTCCGGTGTTGATATGTTTATTTATTTAATTTATTTATTTAATCTAATTTTTATACTGCCCTTCTCCCGAAGGACTCAGGGCGGTGCACAACCAAAGATAAAAACAAGTACCCATATAAAATTTAAAAACAATTTAAAAACACATTAAATAATTTGGCCCCAATGTCATCAAAACATAAACAACCCATTAAAATTAATGTTTAGGCCAACCCAGCTTGTTGGAACAATAATGTCTTGAGGGCACGGCAAAAGGTGCGTAAGTCAGGGATCATCTGTATCTCTGGGGGCAATTCATTCCAGAGGGCGAGTGCCCCCCACAGAGAAGGCTCTCCCCCTGGGTGTCGCCAGTCGACATTGTTTGACCGACGGTACCCTGAGGAGTCCCTCTCTGTGGGAGTGCACTGGCCGGTGGGAGGCTATCGGTAGCAGAAGGCGATCTCGTAAGTACCCAGGTCCTAAGGCATAGAGCGCTCTAAAGATGGTAACCAACACCTTGATTAGCACCCAGAAGACCACCGGGAGCCAGTGCAGCTCGCGCAGGAATGGTGTTACATGGGAGTGCCGTGTCGCTCCCATAATCACCCGTGCGGCTGCATTCTGGACTAGTTGGAGCCTCCGGGTGCTCTTCAAGGGGAGCCCCATGTAGAGAGCGTTACAGTAGTCCAGACGGGAAGTGACGAGGGCATGAGTGACCGTGTGCAAGAAGTCCCGATCCAGAAAGAGACGCAACTGGTGAATCAGGCGAACCTGATAAAAAGCCACCCTGGCCACAGCCATCACATGATCTTCTAGAGACAGCTGCGCATCCAGGAGGACACCCAAGTTACGAGCCCTCTCTGAGGGGGCTAAGATCTCACCCCCAATAGTCAGCGATGGAACCAGCTGGCTATAACGGGACGCCAGAAACCACAGCCACTCGGTCTTGGAGGGGTTGAGTCTGAGCCTGTTTCTCCCCATCCAGATCCGCACGGCCTCCAGGCACCAGGACATCACGTCAAGGGCATCATTGGGGTTATGTTGTGCAATGAATGCTGCATTTCCATTTCCTTGAATCTTTTGCTGCGCCTTGGTGGCGCAGCTGACTAAGTGCTGTTAAAGTAGCACCAGCTGCCTGCAATTACTGCAAGTTCAAATCTCACCAGGCTCAAGGTTGACTCAGCCTTCCATCCTTTCTAAGTAGGTAAAATGAGGACCCGGATTGTGTGGGCAATAAACTGACTTTGTATATATATAAAAAAAGAACACTGCTTAGGGGGGGCTGAAAGCCCTACTAAGCAGGTATATACAAAAGTATGAAGGCTATTGCTTAACGCATTGTAAGCCGCCCTGAGTCTCCGGAGAAGGGCGGCATATAAATTGAACCAATAAATAAATAAATAAATTATGTGACATGCTTCTATTGTAGATTGGGATCTATAAATATAAATCCATATATTTCTTTTCTTGTCATGTTTCCTAAACCTAATCCTGTCAGGCATATGTAATTGATTTTATCCTGTTATCTATTGCCTCTAGCCTAGCCTGTCTTTCTTAATGGACTGGTATTGTTTCCACTTTGCTCAATGAATGGGGATAAGGTCCTGTCCTGTCCTTAATCCCATCACCTGGAGCTGAAGTTGTTTTGTTTGTGAATAAGCACATTAAGAAGACTGGGGCTGCTTTCTGCCTCTTAGAACATGTTTTTCCATTTTTCGTTTGGGAAAATATAATATTCTGCCTCTTTTAATTTCCCCCAAAATATTTCTAAGTCCTGTTCAGAGGCAATCTTATTACTTTAGGACACTTCTAGGGGAACAGCAGTTAAGCAGATTAAACTCATAGATCAAGATATAATTTTAAAGCATTTGTTCCTGCTGAGTGGCACGCTTATTATTTGGACCAAAGCTTTAGTTATATCCTCTATTTCTATCCATTTGTACTATCTGGTTGCCTCCACCTTTTCTATCATAATATCTGTGAGATGTGTCAAAGTAGGAGATGACCGTGCCAAATTGTCTCACTGGAGGAGACAAAATCTGAAAGCAGCTTCATTGTAATCCTCTAAGTCTATGCTACATCATGTGCAGTGTTTCCATTTCTACATTGTGGTTTCTTTCTTAGTTCTGGGAATGGGATTTAGTTCATTATACAATCAGAAATACTTTTACTGAAATATTGATAAACTAGTTGAATGCAACTTTCAACAGGATGCTTTACTGTCTTCCTTTGCTATTGACTATGAGTCCCTGACTGTGGAGGTACGGTTGCAAATTTCAGTTGGATAAGGTAGCTGTTTCTACAGAAACCTCTGAATAAAATTGAAAAAAAAAGATCTTTCTTCAACAGTCTCTCATAGTTCAAAACATTTGGAAATGGGTTCAGCATCTTGTAAAAGGAAATATTCCCACAGAAGAGACCTTTTACTGCTGGAATTTGGAAGATGTACATAATAAACAATGTTAAGTCAAATGAAGGACATTTGTATCCCCTTTCCCTTTCCTTCTTTTCATCAACCATTTTTGAAGAATTGGTATTTTTGCTTGTGCGCTAAATATTGAATGTCATTAACGTCAACAAAGCTGCAATCAGCTGGGTTCATTTCAGTCATTGGCACTATCTGCTAACAAGGCCTTATTCAAAAGTTTGGGGATAACAAAAGGAGTCTAATTGGCACCCCAAATCTGGAATGCTGGCCTTCTTAGGAAGATGTAGGATTAAGGACTGTGGAAGCAGAGCTGACAATAGAAAAGGCTTAAGGGAGAGAACAACTGTATTAAGGTGGCTTTTCTGGCTAGCTACTTGGCAATTGCTTGACATTGCAAAACATTGAAATCTGGAGCTGGCACATGTTGTTTCTAATAACTTCTCAAAGATAGCTGTTTTTATTTTGCTCTTATGAACATTGTTTTCTTTTTAAGATACTTCTAGAATCAATTAGCTAGTGAGTGTGGAAATAGGGTTTAGTCAGTGGTGAAATCCTACCGGTTCGCACCAGTTCGGGCGAACCAGTAGTGATAAAAGCTACTGGTTCAGTGAACTGGTAATAAAAAAAAGCTACCGGTTGGTCCAAACCAGTATTTCCGACAATCAGCTGTGATGCGCGATTTATATTCGCTAGAAAGTAGAAAATCCTGCTTTCTAGCAAATCTAAATAGCGCGGCACAGCTGTTCCCCCCCTTGCTGTTCTACTTACCTTGTTAAGTGTCCTTTTTCCACATGAAGCGTGCGTTTGGCGCACACTGTGCATGCTCACGCAGGGTGCGTTTGGCGTGTACCACCCATGCGCAGACAGCGAACAGGTGGCAAACCGCGGAGGATTTCACCACTGGGTTTAATGTTGGAAAGCATAATCTTTTCTTATGCCAAATCCACTTTTTTGGGGTGAATCCTTTGTAATAAAGACCAAGATAAGCCAAGTTTTTCTCAACCTCATTCTGGGCTACGTATGCAAAACATTGAAGGCTGAACTGAGGCCGTAACAAATATACCTACATTTTAAAGCCACAAAATCCAAGCAATTATTTGTTATGTCACATATTGTTGGTACAATGTGACATGCATTTAAGTCCTTTTGAAATATAAACTAGGATAGCCTTCTCTGATGTGATTCAATCTAGTACTTCTCAACATATGTGAGACTGTGTAACTTCATCTTGGTTGGGAATGGTTGTGGGGTTTATTCCAGAAGAAGGTGCACTGGGAAAATCTGCTACTGCAGTAATCAGAAATCTTGAGTTTCTGGGTTTTTCTACAATTTTAAATCAGGAATTTCCTGTGAAGCTGCCTTTGAAAGTCAGAAATACAATCTGTGTTGTTTTTAAATATGATTAGCTAATCCTTTGGCACTAAGAATCTCAGCTCACCAAGTCTTAGGTCTGACCCAAAGGAAAGAAAAAAAGGGTAAAACATAAAAGCCAACAAACCCTTCCACAACAATCCACAACAACACACAGGGCTCTGTCTATTGAAAGGGGACTTGGCAGAGTTCAGTGGTAGCAGAACAAACTCCAAGCCGTACTAAGGGACGTGCTTGGAGTGGACAAAACATGCTAATTGTGTGTGAGAAGGATCTAAAGCTAAACCCAAAATGAAGAGAGAAAGAGAAGCTTTGTCCAGAGTTCTCAGCACTCCGGGTTTTGTACATATCGTTTGCCTTTTTGTAATCTACTATGCAGGTAGGAAACTAGCATTCTTAAAAACATTTGGGCAAAAGGTATTTGAGTTATGGATCGAGCAATTGCTCCTGTGAAAGCGAGGAAGGTTCTCTTTGGATGCTGAATGCCTGGATGTGAACTGCCCAGCTTCTAGGCAGAGACGTCAGAATGGTCCGAATACCTACTCTGTCCCTTCACAGCTCTGTCCCTGAAACGAGATGGCTTTAAATGCATTTCAGTGTCTGTTTTAAAAAATGAGTTTTACACTGTTCTTTATAGAATAGATTACAGATCTGTGCATCTCTAAACCTAGGGAAGTCTTTGAAGGAATGCATCTTGAATACTGGTTCTGCTCCGGTATGTTTTTAAAACAAGGCAGTTTCGACTTTCAAGCTACACTGGTAATATTTACAGAAAAAGGACTGATAATGGCATAAATAAAAGGATGGATTTTAGCAGTATTTAAATTTCTTATGTGTGTATACAGTACAATATACACCTTGAAGCTTCAGTGAATTTAGTAGAATTTTCTCTTGAATCAGTATGTGAAGGAACTGTGTCTACTTGCTTATTTGGACATTAGGTTTATTGAATTTAGTGGGAGTTCCACTTCTGAGCAATTGTACACAGTGTTGCACTGCTGATTTTGTGATTTGGACTTCCTGGATTATGGAATATGTTAAAATTAAGTTGCTGAGGAGTGGGAAACTATAAAATCCCAACTGTATAGTGAAGATACTTTTTCAGTAGTTTTCCAAGTAGTCTAGTTAGAATTGATATGTGAAAGATTAACATGGAGATAATAACTACTCTGTAATCTGTGGCAGACTTTCCTGGTTGGGATCATTAGCTGGAGAGGATGTTAATCTGTAGGACACTAGCCTCGAAAAGCTGGTTGGTTGGTTGATTGGATGGATGGATGGATGGATGGATGGATGGATGATGGATGAATAGATAGATAGATAGATAGATAGATAGATAGACCCTTTAAAGGTAATTATATAATTACACTACACTATAACATATTATGTCAATCTATAATTTAGAAATGTCACCTATCTTGGACACGGAAAAAAAATTGCACCAGATTATTTAATCCACATTTCCTTCTTTCCATGCTTATATACTTTTGTATTCTTTCTATTTACGATGTTTAGGAAAGGAAAAAGCTATTTTTAATTTGAAGTTTATTCAACCTTAACATGGTTGTCTCAGGTGAATTATAGACACCACTAGTCATAATTAGTCAATGAATTATATTATTTCAAAAAGTGTCAGTATTCATTAAGCCATCATTTGTTGCATTCACATAACATACAATCATAAACCATGCATTAGAAGCTGCAATGGAGGAGATACATTCATGCAGCTTTTTATACACCCGGTCTTCCAGGTTGCCAAGTTAATGCTTAGGATTTGTGGCTTTTGCCCTTGAAAGTACTAGATTTGTTTGTTCCGTAGTCAGGTGGTCTGTTTCTGGGGGAAGCAAACAAGCTAGGAAATTTTCAAACAGATCTCAGGTAGGATCACACCTGAAGAAACAAACAAATTTAGCTCTTTGAAGAGTGAAAGCCACAAATCCTATGCATTAACTCAGGTAAACTAGAAGACCGGGTGCGTAACAAGCCATATGAGCATATTTCTTCACTGCAGTTCCTAACACATGGTTTATGGCTTAGTGTTGTGTGAATCCAGAAAATGAAGGCTTAATGAATATTGGGGCTTTTCTGAAATAATAGCTACATAGGTCGTAGGATCAAGTCTATTCCATTACATGAAATGTTAAAGAAAAAGGCTTCCTTGATTTAAGCAGGATTCCTAACAACTTCATGGGCATGTCCATGGCATTTTTTTTGGCAGTGATATGGAGGTGGTCTACCATTGTCTTCTGAATTCCTAGTCCTTTTGACTTTCCAGTATAGTGATAACTCTGGGATTTGCTAGTAGTCCCTCATCCTTGTATTAATCAGGCCCAACCCTTCTTAGCTTTTGTGAAGGCTTAATCAAGGTAAGCTAGATATTTCCATCAGCTATGTAGTATATTTCTGTTTTTATTACAGTAATTATTCCATGCTAACTAACTAAGATCAATAAATCATCATATTCATTTTATGCAGATTAATGTCTTTTTGTAACCTGGATTATTAAGATTGCTTTTAATTAATATAATGGGGCATTCCCATCTTTTCTTGGCCAGTTTTGAATTACTTCCTTGTTAGAACTCCAACCTTGTTTTATTTGACCAGCATACGATTTGGGGAAATTTTTTTATTTTTTTATTATTTTTATTAATCATATTTCTATGCCGCCTACTCTCCGAGGACTCTGAGCGGCTTACAACAATCGCATATTGCAATCGTATACTAGATAGCATATTGCCCCCAACAATCTGGGTCCTCATTTTACCCACCTCAAAAGGATGGAAGGCTGAGTCAACCTTGAGCTGGTGAGATTTGATCCGCTGATCTGCTGAACTAGCAGTCAGCTGAAGTAGTTGCAGTATAGCACTCTAACCACTGCGCCACCTCAGCTCATATGAAAGTGCATATGAAATGTGCCCTAGGGAAAGGTAACTTGTCTGGATTGCGTATATTCACTACTACAATACAGTAATATAGATGGACTAGAATTCTCTAGGGTAGAAGGACATCAACTTGAAAAACCCAGACTTGAAGCTAAGTGGACCTCAACTGTCTAAATTCTCAGAAACCTATATGGGAACTCACACATTCCTAAAATAGTAGATATGATGAGTGGGAAGCTCTAGCTCACGGATGTCAAACTCGCCACATCATGTTGCCGTCATGTGACGTTTCACAATGTTTTTCCCATTTGTGGAGCTGGGGTGGGCGTGGCCTGCATGTGACGCATCCGGCCCATGGGCCATGAGTTTGAAACCCATGCTCTAGCCTGATGCTTTGTTTTGAACTAGAGCCCCCTTCCCTCTTCAGAAGGGAAAAAAGTACCAAAGAAAACGTTGTAGGCAAGATGACTTTGTGCAGAACTAGACCTAATTTAGCCACCATTTTGATATGACATGCTCTCAAAATTCCAAATGCATTCATTGGATCAAAACGATTGCCTATTTACACTTCATCTGATTTAGTTAATGCTAATTTAGCAAATTTAACACTCTCATATTCCCAACAGTGGCTGCTAAAAGCCACGAGCAGGTGCATCGCTACTAACAAGGCCATTTTGGGTTCTATTGAAGCCACGCCAAACCAGAAGCATCCCTATCTGAGGCTGCCTCTGCTTCCTTTGTCTGGCTGGTGATGTTGCCAAGCCTTTCATGTAACTTGATGAATCAGAAATGCTGCTGTTCCTTATACTACAGCCTTTTAAATTAGAGCCAGGAAGGAGCTAAGCCCCACAACCAAAAGCTTTGTCCTTGGCTCCTGGCAGTCTCGAGTCTGCCCCCAAATGCTGGATCCGATGCTAGGAGACCAGCACGCCCTCCCTGTTTCCAGCAAAGAAGCTCCTTTGCCCAGGATACAAAATGTACTGGAAGTACACATCTTTCAAAACTTGAATGACTGCCAACTGTTTCCAAACGTCTTTCAGCGAACAAACACTCCTGATTCTATTCATAGTGTCCCAACCCTAGAAGAATTCCCTCAAAGGAACATCTAGGGGGCTAGCTTAGCCCACCTGCAGTGAAGCAGAACCACCCAGTTATTTTGACCTCCCTTCCTCCAGTCGTCTAAACTAGTTTTCTCAACCAGACACCCTCCAGATGGGTTGGGATATCAATTCCCATAACATACAACCAATGGAGAGCATTAGATTGGAGGGAATTAATTGAAGACAAAGCATAGATTTTCTTTATTTAGCCTATGGCATCTACAGAGGTCATTCAATCACTGATATACAGTACATCTATAAATTTAAATAAAGCATATGGATGGATGGATGGATGGATGGATGGATAGATAGATAGCTAAACAGCTATCTATTTAGATAGCTAGATACAGTTTTCTGTCTCTCTGTCTGTCTATCTATCTATCTATCTATCTATCTATCTATCTATCTATCTATCAGCTATCTAAATAGCTAAATAGCTAAATACAATAGCTAGCTAGGTAGATAGCTAGATCAAGGGTCTGCAACCTTAAATACTCAAAGAGCCATTTGGACCCATTTCCCACAGAAAAGAAAACCGGGAGCCACAAAACCTGGGTGGGCATGGCCAACTCAATATCACTCACTTCCACCAGTCACATGACCCCCTAGCTACGCCTATCCAGCTGGACATTATGGCAAAGAACCCATTGTTAAAAAACACCGGGTACCACAAAATCCATTTGACATCTCTCTCCTCTCCCTTTCTCCCCCCTGTCTCCCTCTCTCTCTGTATCTCTCTATGTCTCTCTCTCTCCCCGTCTCTCTGTATCTCCCTGTCTCTGCCCTGGCTGCTTCTCTATCCCCCACCGCCACCCTAACCTTCTCAGGCCAGGCGAGGAGTGACTGGGAGGGGAGGGCGAAGGGTGGGGCCAGCCAGTGGTGGGATCACCTGATAAGGAGCCACAGCAGAGGGCCCAAAGAGCCGCATGCGACTCCGGAGCCGCAGGTTGCTGACCCCTGAACTAGATATAGTAGCTAGCTAGGTAGCTAGATGATGATAGATAGATAGATAGATAGATAGATAGATAGATAGATAGATAGATAGATAGATGATAGATGATAGATAGATGATAGATAGATAGATAGATAGATAGATAGATAGATAGATAGATAGATAGACAGACCGACCAGGGATGAAATGCTCCCGGTTTGGACCGGATCGCTCGATCCGGTAGCGATGGAGGCGGGTGGTTCAGAGAACCGGTAGCAAAAATCCCTGCCCCCCACCCCATGCCCAGCTGAGCCGCACAATCATTAGAGGCTTTTTTTTTACTTTTAAAAGCATTTTTTCTACAACCTCTTCGGCCGAAAAAATGCTTTTAAAAGTAAAAAAAAAGCACCTCTGATGATCATGCGGCTCAGCTGGGATCATCAAAGGCTTTTAAAAGAAAAAAAGA